ACATATTGACTGCAGCTCGTATAGCATATGCGCAATGTTGGAAGAGTGAAAATATTCCCACAAATGATATGATTATGTATAAAATCTTGGAATGCGCAGAAATGAACAAACTTACGTTAGAATTAAAAGACAAGGAGACGTCAGAATTTTATGAAATTTGGAATAAATGTTATAATTGGCTAGAACAGAGAAAGAAAAATACATAATTATTGATGTACATAAAATGTAAATAAGATGTAAAGAATATTTAAAATGTAAAGCACTGTTCTGTTAGAAGAAAAGATTTATGTTTATGTAGTTTTTGGTGTATGGTGTATAATGAAAAATTAAAAAAAATTAAAAAAAGAAAAAATAGTTTAGACCTAAGGCAAGAATGCAGTGGAGAAGAATAATCATGGATTATTCCATGAGAGCATACAGCTACTTCTGTGGTTCATATTTAAGTATTTTATAAGTAGAACACCCCCTCCCAATCATTTCTGAAACTGCAACACAGGAAGGGTAATTTCTCTGTTAGCAGCAATGGAAGAAAAAATCCTCTCAGCAGCATCAATCAGATTTTTCTCTAAATATCTAACGTGTTAATATATTTGTTTAAATTTGTTTTTTTTGTTGGTGGGTGGAAGCCACCCTGATTTGTTGAATGGCAACATAAATCCCATAAATGGTTAAATTCACACTTCACATGAGGCTATAAAGGATTGGCTAATTTATTGTTGAGTGTGCTATGCAAATCTAGGCAATTAGATTAAGCAAACCATGTCCAGTTGATCATGCGTTAATGTGATCTATGAACATAGTCACTGACTCCCTACTGCAGCCATCCTCAATCTGCTGCATTCTAGAACCTCCAGCCAGTGCAGCCAATTGCTTTGATGCCTGGAAATCCTGGAAACTGATTACAATAAATCTGGAAGGTACCATGTTGAGAAGGATACTCTATGGAGTACATTCACAGAATCAAAAATGTGGAAGAAACTTCAAAGGTAATGTAGTCTAATCCTCTGATTTAGGAAATGCCCTAGTAAATGGCCATTATTTGTTTAAGATTCTAATTAAAGGTTGACTACCTTCAGAGGCAGTTTGTTCCAGTCATAAGAGGTTACCCAGTGAAGAGGTTATTTCTAACAGTTAAAATTATCTTTCTTGTACTTTGAATCCAATAGTTCAAAACTTTATGCACTAGAGAAACAGAGGACAAAACATTCCACCCTTGAGCACAAAATTATCCAGGATTATATTTCTAATCTCCCAGATATTACTGATTAGAACCTCCAGAATTTATCACCACTGATCATGTTGCTGGGGTTGCTGGACATTGTAGTTCAGCAATTATTGCAGGGCTGCAAGTTCCTCATTCAATAGTCTACAGCTCCTTCCTTCCTTCCTTCCTTCCTTCCTTCCTTCCTTCCTTCCTTCCTTCCTTCCTTCCTTCCTTCCTTCCTTCCTTCCTTCCTTCCTTCCCCCAGTATTGTCAAGATTTTCAAGATGTGGTCATCTTCTGTAATGTGACTATCAGATCACACTGTGGGAAAATGGAATATGTGATGAAATGATCAACATGAATCAACCCTATATCTAGTATTGTGACCTATGCTTGACCGATTAAATATGGGATTTCACACCAAATTCAAATCAAGAGTTTTCCAAATAAGTGGCATTCATTTTAACAATAGCACCCATACCATATGCATGGTGAGTCCTAAGCTACCCCTCAATGTTCCTTTGACATACTTTATTTTTGAACTCCTTTCAACCAATTCTGATTTCTTTGCTGACCCTTCTTTTCTTCTGGAGGAAGGGACTTTCATTTCTTTGCCAAACACATGTTCCAGTGTGGAACCGATGAAACTTTTAAATGTACAGAAGTGAAAGGAAGACAGATGACTCATAATCAAGGATGATGTGCAGAAGCCAGAATTATGCTCAGAAACCAAGGGTGAGAGAGACAGAAATGGTGATGTCACTCTCCCTTTTGGAGACTGCATTATCTCAGATGAATGGGGATGAAGAATGGGAAGCAAGAAATATAGTCATCCAACTTCTTCTCCAGGCTTACAGTTCCTTGCACTTCATGTTCTCTGTGCTATGAAGCACCTATTCCCTTCTTCAATGGCCATATTATTCTTCCTACTTTGATCCAACCTTCCTCACACAGAGGTCTACTTCCTAGATCTACTGGATTAAAGTTCCCATTTTCTCCCATCAAATAACTATACACTCCACTATCCAGAGTATGGTAAATGATAAGAGGCAGCAGCAAAAAAGCTCAGCATGAATGGGAGAGTTGATATGTTTGATCTCCAATGGGACTGCTGCTGTTCTCTGCAATGTTTTGTTTTCCATTTAGAAATGCTGATTTCATTATTTTTACATTAAAAACCATTACTATACTTTTCTATCATTAAGTAATATTTATGTCCAAGCAATATACCTGTCCACTAAAATGGAGCATACCTCTTTATTTCTATTTCACAGCAAAATGTCAAGCATTATGGCAGTCATATTTCTTAGTGGCATCTGTTATGAGCAACCCAAATGTATTTTCTGCCTTTAGGCCCACTCTGATTTTTAGAGGTACAATTTCTCTGCCATTTCCATTCTTCTCTACCCTCTACATCTTCCATGTCATTTGACCAAACAGTGTTTGGCCATCCACAATCCACCAAGGTAACCTGTGAAATAATGGAACCCCACTTCTTCTCATGAGTCTTCTTGTACTGAAGAGCAGGAAAAAAGGGCTATGGGCTTTCCTTGCTAGCCCAGGAATTAACTGCCATGCCTAAAACTATGTTATGCTAAGCAACTCATAGAGAGGTTCTTTACTCTCATACACAGAATTTCCACATACTTGGCTATCATGCTGTAGAAATGAACAGGTGAACATAAATACCTCCCCTCCCACACTGCATCTGGTCCTGAAGATGAGCCTTTTGCAACAGGATGAAGTTTTAAACATTTTTTTCCCTGTGACTTCAGCAGATTCCAATAATACATTATTTTAAAAGAGGTCTCACCTGCCTGTAAGTCACTCCCAACTCCTCAACCTCCTGTTCTTCCAGCCTGTTCTCTCCATCTTCATCTTTCACTCGGAGATAGCCTTGTTCTTTGGCTAATTCTTCCCTCTCTTCTTCCAAGTCATCTTGTGTCCCCTCACTTTCTATTAACCCATGCAGAACAAAAGGCCCCTGGCCCAGGCCCAAATGCTCCTGTTGTTCTGTCAGTTCCTCTTCTGTTTCTTCAGGGTGTGTTGTAGGTGGCTGTGGCAACTCACCTGTCTTAGTAATTATCTGTAAGAGGGGAACAAATTAAGGAAAAAATGCTTCCATTTTAATAACCTAGTAATTTTGAGGTCAATAGCAGGAACATGGCAGTCCAGGGGGTAAATCAAGTCCATTTACAGCAAACACACAGCTTTGCTCTTCTGGTAATTTTGACTCTTTGAGCCTCATTTTCAGTCCTCTTAGCTGCTTACAGGACAAAGAGGGAACTGAGAAATAGAGCTTTGCTCTCAATCATATACTTCTTTAGCTTGGGATACCAGGATACTTACTTCATTTCCAAATAGATTACACAAACATTTGCCTGAGCCACATCTTCCTTTACCTACCTTTCCCAGTTGAATCTGCTGCTGTTTCTGCTTCTCCAGGAAATGTTGGTGCTGTTGCTGCACAACCAGGTGTTGCAATGCTTGGGGGCTCTGAGGCAGTGGGGACGACTGGGTGCGGCTCAGTGGACGATGCCGAGGCAACTTGCTTACAGTGCGCAGGTTGGAGGGGATGTGTTCCCCTGTCACTAAAGGAGATTGGCTGCGCAGAGGAACTGTAATGAAAAGACCAGGCTTTATCATGAAGACATTTCCAGAATATTGCATCACATTTCATTTAAAAATGAAAAGTTATAAGCCACATAACTAGATCTCATCTTTCTTTTTATTTACATGGAGGTATTAGTAGTACAGCAGCTGGAATATGTGCAGTTTCACAAAGTTCATATTCTGATTTGCCCGCCAAAATCCAAAAGTTGTCTGGGTGGCTGTAGGCCTGATTTTGTAGAAAGGAAGGTTGTGCCAAAGCTGCAATTAGAAAGGCTTGCCTACAAGAGCACCTATCACTGCCACTGACATAGAGGAGGCTTCTATAGGAGAAAGTATGCAATAAGATGAAAGATAAAAGTTTGCTTTTAGCCAAAGGCCTTTGCAATTAAATACACAAAATATCTGAAGTTTAAAAATGTACCAACTTCTTCTTTAAATTACTCTAAAACCAATAGAAACTAGATTTCAAAGCATAAAACTGCTGCACACTTATCCCCTTTGCAATCAACTGCAATTCCAGAAAGAAAACTTGCTTGCACTTTTCTGGCTGCTACAGCAAATTTGGCAATCTGCTCTGTAATGAAAAGTTTTATCCATCAAAACCTTTGTCGCTATTTCAATATCTGTGAAGCTACAGTATTTCATTGCTGGATAAGACAGGACAAAAAGTTTCTTCTTAGATTAACATGTATTTCGCAGGAAAACAAATAACCTGAAATTTGATTATTCCATTACCACAGATACATTCATGGTTAAGCAAGGGAAAGTAGGAATATCTGCCTTCTAGGAGAGCTGTGGGCATGAAATGGAAACCCAAGCAAATAAATGCTCCCTACAGTGAAGAAAAAGGTTAGTTTTTTCAGATAGGGTAGTTTATCATATGTGGTATGGAATGCAATATACAACCTGGAAATATGTTACTGGTTGATGATTTGTAGTCAATCACAAACTCATAATCATAATCTGACTCTTTTGGTTGGCTCTGGGTTCTCCATTCAAGGCACTCTTAATGGAATACAGATTTACTCTTGATTGAATAAATTGTGTCCATCTTCCTGATTTCAACAATTCTTCCTGATAATATAAACTAGGTAAACTATGTTCTGCATTTCAAGCAATCTCTCTCAGGATTGCAATACTGATTCATTAATACTTGAATCAGTATTGGGTATCATTAATACTCAATGATAAAGCTGTTGCCTTTATAGTTCTGCAGCAATCCTCAGAAAATGGATTCTGCCCACAAATTTCTTTTGTAGATGTACAATAACCTTGTTATTGCTTGTAGCCCAGACATGAGCCCTACAACAATGGGGTTACACTGCAGGCCCTTGGTGAAAAAAATCTTGATTGTATTACTGTATATTAGACATTGCCATGTTAATGTTTTGACTGTGAGAACTTAAAAGTACTTTGCTTTTGAAATATATTCTACAGTAAATTTATTTATTTAATTTAATTTTATTTATTTATTTAATTTAATTTATATCCCGCCCTTCTCCCAACGGGACTCAGGGCGGCTCACAACATATTTAAAACAAAGGCATATATACAATCCCCCCCTGTAAAACCGAATTAAACCAAATTTTAAAGTTGTGTTATTTCGAATTCCTTAAAATGAACCCAGTATAAAATCCTCCCTAGGCCAGGTCCGCTT